CTAGGCCTCCGAAAGTATGCACACTACAAGTGGCCCCATGTAAGAGAAAAATACACCCGGTAATGTCTCCACGAATGTAAATAAAGTATGTAAAGGGAGTGTCTGTTACAAACAGTATAGCAAAAAGTAACTAATCCTCCAACCAGAAACGAACGAAAAAAAAGGAAAGAGGGAGAAGAAGAAAAAGATGAAATAAAGGGAAAACAAGAGAGAAAAAAAAAAAAAGAGGGAAAGGAGAGTTTAGTAGAACCTATTAAAAAACGAGGCGCTGGGAAAACCAACTTCAATCCATCGACAGAACAGTCGGCTAGAGTAAAACAAAAGAAAAACAGGAGCACCCATGTACAATTACGTGTGTGAGTGGACACAATATACACAAAAGGAGAGAATGGATATATTCCAAAACATAGAACAGTTCCATTCAGGCTTTGGCACACGCATCAAAATCGAGCCCGGTGTACAATCGGTCAAGTTGGTTTGGTGAGGGAGACGTAGCGACGGATCCTCCAGATCGAATTGTCGACTGGTTTTGACATAAGCTGCCTTGATGGCCAGTCGCGGAGCTGGTGCTATTGCTACGTTCGCTGGACCAGAGATACTGATGCGGTCCGGAAGTTAGAGTTTCGAAACTGTGCTTCGTCGCTGCTGCAGCCCACAACGACGAAAGGGGGAGGAAAATGGCCACGAGCGTGAAGACGTTGGAGTTCATTTCGTAGAGAGGAATCGGATATTGGATTATTGAGAAAATGGCTATACGCAGAACACGAACAAAAGGTCCTTAGCGTTGGTTGCGTTATCTTGCAACGAGATATGAGAGAACACAATCCTTACCTGGAATCACCATAGTTTGAAAAGACATGATGAACATCACCTGCATAGCTCCGAATCTCGTCATGCCCAGTCGTCTGCGAGTAACGAGAGCATATCCCATTTTGGTGACAAAAACAGCGCTGAAAAAACACGTGCTGATCGTAATGGCGATGTTTGAGGCACTCTGAAGCCAGATGAAAGGGCGAAAATTTGAAGCATTCATAATGGCAATGCAGTTCTCAACCATCAACCCCATCCGGAATCCGATGGCCAGCAGCGCAATAATGATGGAGACAACCAGGAGGAGATGCCGCTGGGTTTCTGAAAGGGTGGCACAGACAACCTGGGTTTGGATGACAAGCGACATTTCCATACAAATGACCAGAATAGTAGCGAAGACAATGCCCAAAATGGAGTCAGCGTAGGCACTACTAGGGACTCGGGAATAATCCAGGCTGAAGAATGCATAGGTGCTGTTGAATCCCGTGGTGAAGTAGATGGTCATGCAAAGCAGGCGGGCAAAGTTCATGGTCAGTGCAGAGGTATTAAGGAAAAAAACTGGTGTTCGACGCTTGTCCGACTGCGTCAGGAGGGCCAGCATGACAATCGCGATCACTGTAGCCCCGAGCTGAGCAGCGTAGTTGATGCAGACTCTGATTCCGTACTGAACAAATTTATCCAGGTCATGGATCGACACATTGAAGGGCGTGCCATCGGCCTTGTGGAAAACCACGTTCTGGTCGAACGGATCAAACGACGACGACATTGTCGGAATACACGGAGATCTCCTTGAGCGACGGGCAGGGGTTAACGAATCGCCAGCTGCACGCAGGGTAACGAATGGGGTCGAGAGGTGAGAGAGCTGATGGTCTGATCAACTTATCAGAGCAATTTGGGTAAAAAGGGACGAGAAATAGGGACAAAAATGCGAACGGATACGAGGATACAAGGAGATATAACGAGAGAGAAAGCATGAGAGAAATTTGCTGCTGATCTGATAGAGTTATTAAAATGCTATCAGGTATTCTCCCTATCACCACAAGCAGTGAAAGGTAGCCGCACCAATGTCAGAGCGTAGAGGCATTGGGCACGTAGGGGCATAATAAGTCCAGCAGCAAACGGTGGAGACGAGGACATATTGTGTCCAGGCTTGTATATGTATACGAGGCATTGAGAGGACAGAACATCTCTATGAGTGAAGGGACTGCGAGGAGTTTCTAGTATACAACAGATAATACGCCCGATGACTTGAACACACTAAAAAATAGCGTTCGGGCGGGCGTAATTTACCTGGTCCCCACCTTGAAGCCGGCGTTTGATTGATCAATCCAAAATATAAGAATCGTGGGATGTAAGGGCGGATGTGAAGCTCGCAGAACAATATCAGCGCTATCAATGTCTGCAGGGTGAGAACAATAGGATGTAGGATGACGGGAAGGCGAAAAGTGGCCGCACGAGCTATCACTCCAGCTCAGACATACAAACGGCGGGATGAACACAGCTCTAATTTGCCCTGGCCAAACATGTTGGAAGATATAAAACATTTTAATCTCGGGATTAAAAGGTGGTAGATATAAGGAAATCAAACGAAAAGAATGAGCAACCAGACAGGCTAAGTGCCGTCGAGAGCTATTGTGTATGTATAATGCAGTACCGAAAAGTAGGTATCTCGAATAGATCATTCTTCTCAGACAAGAGTTGCGAATACAACCTCGATCCGCAGCTGTGCGATCATAGGGATGCATCGTATGCACAGCGTGTTTAAAGATCTTGAAAGCACATCGTTATCAGTCCCCCCCATAACCACATCACACACACAGCAACTCGGGCCCCGAGCATGGTTACCACAGCTCGAGATGCGACTGACAGGTTGCACATATATCCCCTGTGCTTCCTACCAGGCCTAAGTGGAAATAAAGCACACGGCTCTCATTGTCTTTACTGTGGTCGGCAGCTATATGCTCGTCATCTCGAGGCAAGATGATGCACAACTGGCACCCTCGATTGCCTCATGGTATTGGATACGAGCCGGGGCCATCGTGTCATGCGCATTGAAAAAAAAAAAAAAAAAAAAAAAAAAAAAAAAAAAAAGGTATATAGAGGAGTGAAATTCCACTGAATCATCATATATCGTTTCTTTGTTCTTTTATCCTTCCAGAATGCGAGAATGTCACGGTGTGGGATGTTGGGATGTTGGGATGTTGGGATGGTTTTGGGTATCACAGCGCCGACTCAATAGGGAATATCGAGATGTAACTTGTATCTGCTTTCGAAGTGCAAATATGGACCAGGGCCTTTTCTCAGCCTGACTGGGTGGAGCATCGGGACTAACACTGCTGATTTATCGCGACACTATGCAGTGCGATATGACTGCATGCCGCAGAAAGAGAATCGGGGAGTCGATATTTAATAGGAAGCGGAGAGGGAGAAAAGGAACACATCCCTGGACTTAGTTAAATACATAGCTAACCACCAGCGCCAAGCGCCAGCCAGTTGAGATGCCGTCCAACTTCTACGAACAACAATTAACAAAAGAAATTAATCAACAAAGGAGGGGAGGAAGAAACATAACATCCCCCGCTCCAGCGTATTCCACACTCCGCCTCTAGACGAAACACGCATCTTACATCCCCGTACTATCAATACCCTCGTTACACCCTACATCTCACCTCTCACCTCTCACCTCTCGCATCCCGCATCCCGCATCCCGCATCCCCCTCACCGCACACCGCAACAATGTCGTCCAGCAGCGCGACAACCACCACCTATACCCCTCCCCCCCTCCCCGCGCCCTTCACCAATTCTCCCGCTGCCCTGCTGGCCCAAGGTGCCGAGGGTCGCCTCTACAAAACCAATTTCCTCACCCCTTCCATCCCCGCCGCCCTCAAAGTCCGCCCCGCAAAACCCTACCGACACCCCGTCCTCGACTGCAGATTAACCCGCCAACGCATCCTGCAGGAGGCGCGATGTTTGGTCAAGCTATCACGCGAGGAGGTTCCTGTCCCCGGCGTGCTGGCTTTGGATGTTGATGTGTGTGAGGGGGACAAGATTACCGGTGTTAACGATAATAGCGATGATAACGATAACAGTAACAGGACCGGATGGTCTGCATGGCTACTGATGGAGTGGGTGGAGGGCATTGTTGTCAGGCAGGTGGTTGACCGGTGGGAGAAATGGCTGAAGTCACGAGAGAAAGCTGCGGGCCCGGCTGATGCGGAACACGACGACGGTGCGGCGGAGAGTATCAGGAATGGCGAAGAGGATATTTGCGCGCTGTTGCGGAGGATCGGGCTTGTCGTCGGCGCCATGCATAGGGCCGGCATTGTTCATGGGGATTTAACTACGAGCAACCTCATTCTCAGACCCATTGCGCCTGTCTCGAATGCGTTGTCAGAGGAGGACGGGCAGGGTTCGGAGGCATCCGACCTTCCTTTGGATACGCCCATTAGGCAAGATGCAGAGTTACAGTCCCCTACCACTACTGCCACTACTACTAATGTAGGCAAGAAGCCTTCGCTGGCGGGGGAGATTGTGCTGATTGATTTTGGCCTCGCGAGCCAGAGCATTCAGGATGAGGACCGGGCTGTCGACCTATACGTGTTGGAACGAGCATTTGGGAGCTCGCATCCGAGAACCGAGCCATTTTTTCATGAGGTTCTTAAGGGATATGCGGAGAGTTATAAGACGGCGAATGTGGTGTTGAAAAAGCTGGAGCAGGTCAGGTTGCGCGGACGGAAGAGGAGTATGGTCGGTTGAGGGTCACCTCCGTTCTACCGGCCAAGAAGGCGCATCATGGAATATTATC